GAACACACTATTATATCACCTTTGTTGATGGTTTTTCCCGGAGAGTTTGGGTGTATACAATGAAGACAAAGGATGAGGTGCTAGGATTTTTCCTTAAATGGAAAAAGATGGTGGAGACTCAAACAGGCAGAAAAATCAAACGTCTCCGTACAGACAATGGTGGAGAGTACAAAAATGATCTATTTCTGAAAGTATGTGAAGAAGAAGGTATTGTCAGGCATTTCATTGTCAGATCTACACCACAACAGAATGGGGTGGCAGAGCGTATGAACCGGACGTTAGTGGAGAAGGTTCGGTGTATGTTGTCTAATGCTGGGTTAGGCAAAGAATTTTGGGCTGAGACTTTGGTCTATGCTTGTCACCTTGTCAACCGCTTACCATCGACTGCTATTGGTGGTAAAACACCATTAGAGAAATAGTTTGGAGAACCTGTTACAGATTATGATTCCTTACATGTGTTTGGTTCCACTGCATACTACCATGTTAAGAAGTCAAAGCTAGATCCAAGAGCAAATAAGGCGATCTTTATGGGGATCACCTCTGGTGTGAAAGGCTATCGTCTTTGGTGTCCAGAAAGAAAGAAAATAATCTTCAGTAGGGATGTTACCTTTGATGAATCTACCATGTTGAGAAAGGTGACTTCAGAAAAATTGGAGCAGACAGATGGAACTCCCAAACAGGTGGAGTTTGAAGGAAGCATAATTGACCCAGTCAGTAAAGAAACTGATGTTGACTCTCCTATGGTAGAAGAAGAGTCAAATAAAGAAGAGGTTCAGACCCAAGAACCTCCACAGCAACATGAATCAATTGCACTCAGAAAGGGAAAGAGGACCATTAGACAACCTGCTCGTTATGCTGATATGGTATCTTTTGCATCACCAATTGCAATTGATGACGTTCCTGCCACTTTTAATGAAGCAGTCCAAAGTTCAGAACATAAAAAGTGGAGGATCTCCATGAATGAAGAAATGCAATCCATTCAAAAGAATCAGACGTGGAAACTAGCTAGTCTTCCGAAGGGAAAGAAGGCAATTGGGTGCAAGTGGGTATATGCAAATAAAGATGGATTTCCTGACAAGAATAACATCCGCTACAAAGCAAGATTGGTGGCTAAAGGCTACGCTCAAACGGAGGGAGTTGATTATAATGAAGTATTTTCTCCAGTTGTAAAACATTCCTCCATCAGAATTTTGTTGGCTTTGGTAGCACAGTTAGATTTGGAACTAGTTCAGATGGATGTAAAAACTGTATTTTTACATGGAGACTTGGATGAGGAAATCTACATGACTCAGCCAGATGGATTCAAAGTTGCTGAAAAATAAGAGATGGTGTGCAAATTAGAAAAATCGCTATACGGATTGAAGCAATCTCCAAGGCAGTGGTACAAGCGATTTGACAAGTTTATGATAGGGCAGAAGTACACAAGAAGCAAATATGATCATTGTGTGTATTTACGCAAGCTACAAGACGGATCCTATATATATATTCTTCTTTATGTTGATGATATGATGATAGCTTCCAGTAGTCAGACAAAAATTGCGAAACTAAAGACTCAATTGAACAGAGAGTTTGAGATGAAGGATCTTGGTGAAGCAAAGAAGATTCTAGGCATGGAGATATCAAGGGATAAGAAATTGGGGAGGATTTGTTTGTCTCAGAAAGAATATTTGAGGAAGGTACTAAAACGTTTTGGCATGAATGAGAAGTTAAAACCAGTTAGTACACCTCTTGCTCCTAATTTCAAGCTCGGTGCATCCATGTCACCTAAGGATGATGCAGAACGGGAATACATGTCAAAGGTTCCGTATGCAAGTGCTGTTGGTAGCTTAATGTATACAATGGTGTGTACGAGACCCGATATTTCACAGGCAGTTGGGGTTGTGAGCAAGTATATGCACGATCCTGGAAAGGAGCATTGGGAAGCTGTGAAATAGATTTTGCGGTATATTCTGAACACCGTAGATGTTGGTTTGGTCTTTCAGCAGGACAAACAAGATGGTCAGTGTGTAGTTGGGTATTGTGATTCAGACTATGCAGGTGATTTGGACAAGCGTCGATCAACTACTGGTTATGTGTTTACATTTGCAAAAGCACCAGTCAGTTGGAAGTCCACCTTACAGTCAACAGTGGCTTTGTCTACTACAGAGGCAGAGTATATGGCAGTTACAGAGGCTGTGAAGGAGGCAATTTGGCTTCAAGGGTTGTTTGGTGAATTGGGAATGGAACAAAAGCACATCAAAGTTCACTGTGACAGTCAGAGTGCTATTCATTTAGCAAAGAACCAAGTTTACCATGCAAGGACGAAGCACATCGATGTTCGATATCACTTTGTACGAGAGATTCTAGAAGAAGGTGGAGTCATAATCCAGAAGATTCGGACCATTGAGAATCCTGCTGATATGTTGACAAAAGTGGTAACTGCGGTCAAGTTTAAACATTGTTTAGACTTGGTCAATATTGTTATAAATTGAAAGATGAATTTGCAGACACTACTGAAGATTGGATTTTTTTTGAGAGACGTGTGTGGAATTTGCCAAGGTGGAGATTTGTTGGTTTTTGGCAAATATCCCACATTGGTTTTGTATAAGGAGGAGGGGAAATTCTTTTGTTATAAATAGAGCCCTCCTCCTCCTTAGTTTAGCATCCCACAAATATAAGCCTTCTTCACTATTAAAGGCTATTTGTACTCTTTCTCTCTTTGTAATATTTTCTCTATTAGTGAAATATTATTTTAGTAGTGTTCGAGGAGGTAGGCATAATTTTGGCCTAACCTCGTTAAATCTTGGTGTTCTGTTTATGTCTATTTAATAGCTATTGTCGGGTATAGTTGTTGTTAATTATTGTCCTATTAAAATTACTTGTCTTGGTAGTTCTGTCTAAGGAAAGTGGGTTTTAAGAGGGACCATTGTGACCCCTCTTCTATCCTGGGAATCTACCTTGGGGTGATTTTTAGTACAATCTTTTTCACACTAGTCACCTAGATAATAGTTTTCAAGGTGAATTTGTTATTATTGGTGGAAATTAACCCGAATTCCACAACACATACAATCACTTGACAATTTAACCATACAATACCATGTATTTTTAATAGAGAAAAGCCCTAATTCACTGCGAGATTCTAACAGCCAAGCAAAATGGCCAAAATCCACTACATTTCACTTCCTCTAATTAAAAAGTACTAGCATCTATAAAAACTAAGAAAAAGAAAAGTCGGTATTGACGATTTTAGTTTCTCGGGTGCAATTTTAGGGTTAGAGCGGAGGGATGGAAGACATAGTAGAGTATAGAAAGTTATGGCCATTAGTACTCTTCCGAAAAGGATTAAAATAGGTGAAAATACAGCAAAGCAATAGCAAGCAGAAAGCCGTGAGATTACAATAACATGTAATTTCATTAATTCTGCACGATTAAGTGATGAAAACAAATTAAACTCACAACAACTATAGACGAAGAAAATCAAACATCATAGACGATCAAATTATACGTTAACTTACACCTTTAAAATAAAAATAAAAAAGCGTCAAACCAAATTATGACATGAACTAAAACTTACATATAAAGAATTGCGAAGAAACGCGAAAGCAAAGTAAGAACTTTCTCAAATGAAAAGCTTTTAAAGCATTTACCTAATTCAATTCTTAAAAACATTAGAAAACAGTATGTCAAGAAACTGAATAACCCAATGAAAAATAATGAGAAAAAGGAGAGAGAAAAAAACGAAAGGTAGAGAATCAAAAGAAAGAGTAAAGCCTACAGCCATTAACATGCAGCGATACCGCCATGAAAGTTGTCAAAGAAAAGCATCTGCAGAATCATCATCAAAGCGAAGACGAAAACAAAGATGAAAACAATGAAAAAAAGTAACATACAAAGATACAGATCTCGTTTTTGAACCAAAATCGAAAGGTACTGTTAGCCTGGATTATCAAATTCGTCGTAGTGTAGAGAGGGAAAAAAGTATCTTCGCCAACTTACACGAATAAAAAATCCTTTATTATTTAAACATGGCAACTCCTTTTATATTCACTACGCAGTACGCACACAATTAGGGGAAACGTGTACACTTGAACAGCTGTGGCTTCTTTAATTTCCCAAGTTATATTAAAAAACACAAATAAAGTTTTCATGGATAAATCGACGGTCGACTATCTTTGTTGTTTGCTTCTTTTTTGTACTAAGGTTTGTTTTTTCTTGACCCGTTTAGTTTCGTTGTTTGTTGTTTTAGGCCTTAAGGATGAATTTTATATTAAATCAAATCAAATTGAGTTGAAAAGATTTTGAGTTAATTAGTTATATCTTATAATTGAAATTTTATTTGAATTTTTTTCGAACCAAACTTATAAAATTCAAATTGAAATCAAGTTGTTCGAGTTTATGAGACGACATATCGTCTTGCCAACATGTACATCTCAAAAAGTTACATGAATTAAAAAGAGATCATCTCAATTGAATACCAAAATACAAATTTCTAGAAACTAAAACCACATACCTCAATTCCTAGAATTTTTCATTTTAACAAAGATATTTTTAATTTAATCCTTGCAATATATAAAAGAATAGAATAAAATTATTAAGACATCAAATTTAAACCATCAACAACTGTAGTGTTGATTATAACTTTCATCCTATTTCTCTAATTAATTTCTCACCATACTCATTTCTCATCCTTTTCAACAATAATATATTATCACATTTGAGTCCATTATAACATTGAAAAATACCAAAGGAAAATATTTTCAAAGGAGGGATATATTTTTCACTCCAAAAGTGATGTCACGTTGGGTCCAAGGCAGATGGCGTAGGTGGCTGTCCAAGACCCTTCTTCATTCTGACAACGGATGAGTATACTCGGTGTTTGAAAACAAATTATTAATTCGAGATATTAAATATAGAGCTGATATAATCATGTACAATTATTCTTTGTATTCCCAACTTAGGACGTCTGGTGCTCATGATGACTTCCTTTGGACATAAAAGGTGGTATTTGTGTAAGAAATAAATCCAAAGAATGAACCTTTAGGAAAGTTTATTTTGAATAATACCTTACAAGACACTGAAAATTCTGTTGAAACCTCGCGGTTTTAACTACACTTTTTTATAATCCTTACTAATTCTAGAGTGTGCAACACTTGAGTGAATTCATTACTTCACTGGACAGCCATCAACCATTATTCCCTTTGCTGTCGGACAAGTTGCTAAATCACAATGTTCACCTTCCGTGCCCCACCATGTCACACTTCTATTTTCTATTCCCACCGAAAAGTACAACAGTATTGCCATGAAAGCCACCCCCGCATCCAGAGCAGCCGATAGAATGTAATTGTACCTCTGCCACCACTGCTTCCGGTAACGGAATACGAAGAAGTTGAAAATAGTTCCAACTAGAATCCAGGAGTTGTAGTTTACTGCTGTTGCTGGCGGCATCATCCCTGTTGCTCCTAGAAGAACCGGAAGGTTAATTAGTGGAACCCAAGTTTGTTTGGGAAATGTCTTGTGCAAGACCCAAACGATGACGGGTCCTAATGCTCCTCCTACGAAGAACCAATTCATCGATGGATAGTTTCCTAGAGATCCAAAGATCCTCTTGGGGCCCACCAAACCCCATATGACCGATGCGTCGAAGAAGACTCGATCACCTGGGCATGTCCAGGGACTGTCGGCTGGAAGGAGATCGTCCTGGCATATGTTCTCGATAGAGTTCAGCAACCACCATGCCACTGCAAGGTTGATTGTTCCGGCGAGAATGGTTCCTATGAACTAGATAAGAGGATTGAAATGGAACATAAATTAACTACATCAGCCGCTATGCACTTAGAGAGAAACAAGAAAACCAAGAGAAAAAAAAATTCATTTACTAGATCATCCTCAACTAGTGCTGTCATTGAGATATATGTCGATGGATCATAGATGGAAGAAAAAGTACCTGAACTAAGAACATGGATCTTGGAGGTATCTTCATATAGTGTCCTAGCTTGAAATCATTGAGGAAGGAGACTGCTTGAGCCATGCTCATATAACCATAGGTTTTGAAGCACACATTCGCTATTGGCCTTCCGGGATATATGAGACCCATGACATACTCTGTGATAATGTTCAAGCCCGGTGTCTGCATGATGAATGAAATCAGTAAAATTGCTTCTCCTCTAAATATTATAAGTGGAATTTTACTTTATTTTCTAAATGAACTAATTTACCTGGTTCGTTGTGGCAGTTATGATACTAATTGGAAGAGTGAAGATAAAGGCCATTGCACCAGCAAAGAGGAGTCCCCACCATGGCATCTGCACCTGGTCATTCAAGAAGATGCAGAGCGCCAGTGATACTACGAATGTTGCAGCAAGCATAGCGTAAAACCACCAGGAAGGTATGTCCTTGTATCTTTTCATCAACCTTGTGTGAATATCCTCCTTTCCCGTGTAAGAAGCACTATATCGATCATATATCTCCCTGTTGTTAACAGTTTGACAATAGGGTTATCATCGAGTTCAGTTATGTAAACTTAAAAATAAAGTACTACGATGTGAACAAGCATCTAAGAAGGATGACTACAAATTTACCTTCCATAGAACAGGGCCACATGTGTTATTGTTGATGCAATCGTGGCAAACCCAAATCCATAAGTGAGGGCGAAGAACATGCTTAGATTAATTCGACCTTGATCTTCATACTTTGCTAAATCAATCTCGAACTTGTCATTAACGATTGCTGTTATGTTGTACTTTTGACCTTGGGCTGTAAACAAGTGAGAGGAAAATATGGGGAATCTACCAGCATTGTACAAGTCTAGGCCCCAATAAGCTACAGGAATCGCTATGTAAATTATCAACACATAGCCTACAAAAATGTTGACAATGGCAAAGAAAGGACTGATGAGCGGACTGAACAAGAAAGATGCTACAGTAGTCCAATCAAGCGTTAAGGCTCCAAGACCGAGTCCCCTAAGACCTGAACCAATTTGCTGGGCGGTAACTGACTTGGAGAAAATCCAGCACACCCATGAGATGCTGGTAAGAGTTGTGAAGAGGTAGCCCGGGACAATGTACCATAAGAAGCTGCAAATTAGTACAATGAGGAAGAACTTTGCCCTTGTCATTCGTTGGTCACTTTTATCATCTTTCTCATGCAAAGCCCTGCAATTCAGATCAGAGAGTTTACAATTCAAGGTACTAGGACCATTTTGCTTGGATTATGCTTTCTTTTTTCTTAGCATGACTGGATTTAAACATCATGAACTGCACTGGCTGCAAGATTTCCATGATGAACTAGACATTGATGGCAGTATGATTTAAACATCATGAAGTGTACTGGCTGCAAGATTTCCATGATGAACTGGACGTTGATGGCAGTACGAAACTGTTGCATATCATTAACTACATATATTTTGATAGATACTCTTGTTTTAATTGCTGGAGCTTAAAGCTAGTAAAATAAGCCCGAGTCTGGAAACCCACGCGGGCCCTATTTTATGACTGTAAAATTAGTACATGTTTTGATAAATACTCCAGTAGAGTTGATGCGACCTGCTTTAAACCTTTGCTACTGAGCAGTAAGGAGTGACCATTTAGTAATGATTTAGTAAATATCCCATCACTAATTTTAGGTGCTAAGTTTCCTTCACAGGCTGGCCCTCCTACCAATGATTAATTAGACGTTTATCAATTACCAACCATGATTTGGATGCCCCCCCCCCCAGCACCGCATGATTTCATTAACGGTTCTCGGTAAGAATCATAAACATTATTGACTCAATGGGTTTCGATTTGTCCCGATCGACCTTATGAGATTCTCTCCTGGGAAAAATCGGATTTTACAACAGGGCGATTCTGGTCGATTTTTCATTCTGTTCTCCAGATTTAGGTTTAGGTAAATAATATGTCTTGTCCAGGATATATTTATTAAAATGTTCATCTTCAAATTTTATAACTATTTTTAAATTATAATTTCTAATTCTATAAGAATTTATAATATGTATTTCAATTATATAAGCATGTTTCATATATTTTGCCATAATTTATTAATTTATAATATTCTATCATTTGATTTAGTTTTGTAAAATTAGTAAAACATTATTTTTTTAAAAAATGGGATAAGTCTGCAAAATAGTTTTAAACTCGAGTCAAGAGTAAAGTTAAAAAAGAAATAAAATTGGATTAAGTGGGGTTGAGACGGGGGATTAAGGTAGGAGATGAGATGAAGAAAATACCGCTGACTTGGCTGAATTGTTATCCCTAATTCTTAACCTAGTGGATTGGCATTTTTGACCTACTCGTGTGTATAAATCAATCATTACTGATTGACCCACTTGTGTGTGTATTAATATATACAGGTATGTGTTTCTTCCTCCTTTCATCTGGTCAATATTCAAACAAAACGAAAACGTCTTGCCAGCCCATTTGTAGTTTTGTACTGGCTGACAGCAGCTGGAAGGATTGTTTGAGTTGACTAAAACTGCGAAGACTTGTCGAATTATTCATTCGACTGGAATTTGAATGGCTTTAGAAAATATAGATTATGATTTATTTAATAAGAGAATTGATGTAAGACGGTTCTAAATTAAAGCTACTTTTGCTTCGGTTTTGAGCAAATGGGATGAGAAAACAATGGACCAGCTCACGCGTAGGAAACGCCGCAAGAGCCGGACATGACATTGACATGTGATATGACCCAATGACCATCTCCATCGGCGATACCATTGACTTGAAATATCAATACATGTCTATGGATTAAATTTTAGAAGGTGTAATTTAAGATTTAAGTTTGGTGATAATATTTAAAAATTATTTATAGAATAAAAATATTTCTTTGACAGTAAATATTAACTTATAATTTTATATAATTTCCGTGATAGTCTCTTTCTATACGTACGTGTCAAACTCAAATCAAAGCAAGCAGCGTATCGATAGGCGATACCAATAACTGAGAGAGGGTTTTGTTTTGTTGTGTGATAAAACAAAAAAATGAATGGGCCTACGTTCCCCCATACTCGGTTGTTTCTTCTTTATGGTTAACTATTATAGAGTTGATTTTTGCTCACACCATATGAATAAAAAATGGTTTGCTTATCTCTTAATGAAATCATTTAGCGTTAATTATTGAACCGTTAATTACTAAACCGTTTAGCATTGAATGCTGAATCGTTCAGCATTCAGCGCGTTTGTTTCGTACTTCTGAATGATTCAGTGCTGACTGATTCAGCAAAACAATGCTGAATGATTCAGCACAGAAGTACATTTTGAATGATTCAGAGCCATTATCAAATAACATATCACATTCAGAGCTAATTCATACAGAACCTTTGAATCATTCAGTGCTTAATCATTCTAAAATAAACAAACAGTCCCTAATACAGAAGCAAGTGGAGAATTGGTAAATAAAATAAGTCAGCAACGATTCCCATCTCTATTGTTTTAACGTTCAAATTGGTTGAGATAAACAAATTTCAATAAAATAATAATAATTAGAATGTAATTTAGTTGATTTTAAAATCGATAAATAATAAATAGATAATTACAAATATAACTTAATTCATAGTTTTAAAATCTAATAACTAAAAAAAATTAAGATGGTCATACATTAATTTCACAAGTAACAAGAATTTAAAGAAAAATTGAACTAAAAAGGCGAGGGTTATACCCCTCCATCAGTAACCTGGTTCCATCCCTAATTAAACTAATTCTTTCTTTTAAAATTTAAAGATTAATTTAAAACAGTACCTTTTAATTAAAAGATACAATTTTTTTAAAAAAAGGAGAGTGGCGTAGTGAGTTGTGTGTTAATATGGATGTATTTAGAAATTTATGTTAGGAGGTGTAATTTTAAGAAATTATATTAAAAACGTAGGGTGTAAAATTATAAAATCTCATATACGAAATTAGATAATTTATATAAAATATAAAAATATTTAAAATATAAGAAGTTTTAAAATTTTTAGTGGGTGCGACCGCACTCCCGCAACCCGGGTACTAAGAGGATTACAAGTTATAAAATTATAGGAGAAATCTCATGTGAATGGCTAAGGAAAAACGCTACCGATTTTGTTATTATTATTTTTAATAAAATTAATAAAAAATTACCGAAAACATTATTATTTGTATCAGTTTTATTATTATTTGACACTTTACCGGTTTTGGTAATATATCTAGTAGAAAAAATAATGTTTTAGGTAACGCTTTACCGTTTATATTACAAAGCTCGATAAAACACCCAATAATAAAATCGATAGTAATAATAATGTTTTCAGTAATTTTTTGTTAATTTTATTAAAAAAATAATAATAAAATTGATAACGCATTTATTTAACCGTATATTAAGATTGTTATGCGGTAAAACTTTTCAAAATTATAGATAATAAACTAACCTGAAAAGTGAGACTTGCACCAAGGTGCTCGGCCACCACATGTGAGCTGGCTCCACCACATACTTCCTCAGCAACCCAGCCCAGCCATATCCTAGTACCTGCACCGCCCACCACCTTTTTAATCTTTATTCAACACATCAATGATTATCCAAATAATTACTAAATTAACAAGCAAAGCTATGACTTTAACAATCTAGCCACCAACTAATATTATTTACTAATTTATCAATTAGGCTAAGATTTTTCTTCTTTCCTCCAGAGACTCGGGAATTTACTTTTATTGCATTTGAAAATCAGTAAAAAAAAATTAAGTAAAATGAGGGAAAAATGAGATACCAAATGACAAGTGGAGAATAGCTTAGGAGATAAATGGTAAATAAACCCAGAAATGGAAGAAGAATCACATGTAACTGATTTTTTATTGGACGAGCAAGCTTAGCTTAGGTATATCTTTTTACCTGAGTGGTGATAATGAGAAGCCAACCGGAAAAAAACGATATGCTCCGACCATAAAAAGCTTTGATAATGTTAACTATACCAACCGCATAAGCCGACCCGTTTCCGAAAGCACTACCCGCATTTGCGAATATGCAAATGAGAACATGCTCTTTCATGTTGAACGGACCGGGGTTCAAAGAAAACCGTTTCGATCTAAAACCCGGAATTCCGAACTGGGTTTTGGGCAAAACTGTAGCCATGAAATGGCCAATGGGGAGTGTAGAAACTTGGACTGTGATTTGGGTTATAATGAGTGGCTCTGTTCTGTAAGAGAAGAATTGGTTGAGGAAAGAGAGGAGAGCACAAGAGAATAATCCTAGGAACCACATCCGGAAGGTCCATACGGGTAAAGTCGGGTCGTCCGTGTTGGGCACAGTCAGCCGGACTTGTTCGATAGGGGAGATGTCTTCGACTTCATCGCCATGGTTTCCGCCGCTTCCGGTGGCTACATGTTTTTCAGGGTCTGAAGATTTAGGGGCTTGTAGTTCCATAGAACTCATTGTGGAGCTTGGAAATGAAAGTTGGAGGAAGATGGGGGAATGCCTAAAACAAACGGTTGTATTAATTTAATTTAGAAGGGAAAGAATTATTGGGTTCTGGCCTTAACTGTCATAAAATAAAAGGCACGGCACGATAAATGGAGGGTTAAATTCTCTGAATCCCATGTATTAATTATTTAATTTTAGTAAAAATTGATTTGATTTTAATAGTTTTTTTTAAAAATATATATAATTTTATAACGAATTGTAGTAAATTTTATGAATCAAATTAAGTTTGAGTTTAGTGTGAATAATTTTTTTTACTCAATTTATGACAATACTATAATTCCTTTTATATATTTTAAAATAATTAATATAATATTTTTATTTTTAATTATTTTTTATTTTGTTGAATACAAATATATTTGTGTTGGTACAAGATGAGTTTTTATTTCTAAAAGTCAGATCGAGTTTAAAACAATAAAATATCATGAAATGTATGTCAGATCAAATAAAAAGATATGCTACTTGATTTTGAGTCAAATTAACCAAAAAACCAATCTAATCAAATCATAGGGCACAAATGGTCTCATTATTATATGTTACTGCTTTGTTGAGTCTATTAACTATTTAAGGTTATAAAATAGTCCTAAATCATAGAAAGTTGTTTTGTTTAGTCCTCCGATTGTTAAAAATTACACAATAGTCACCCGACCATTCATATGTTTCAAATTCGTCTTTTTCTATTAAAAAATTGGTAGGTGTTTGAGCTTGTTGTTAATATGTTGGATGAAATATGATAAAATATGATCCTAGAATCGTTTAAGCTGTATTTTGTGGATCGACTCTTCGTTTATATTATGTCTTCGAGCCAATATTTGAAATATTATATTGTCGAGCCAATGCTTGAAAGCAACTACGGTGCCAGTAGACATCATTAAAATATGATTTTATTATATCACTATCATGGGATTAACGTTCAACTTAGACGACCATCAATTTTTTAACTGAAAATGATGAGTTTAGAACATATAGATAGTTGGTTGACCATTTTGTTACTTTTAAAAGTCGAGGACTCAATAAAACAATGTCATGAGTCGAGGAACTATTTTATAATTTTTAATAGTCGAAGGACTCGACACGAACCACAATGACCTTGATGGTAAATGAATTATTGTTATTCCTTGAGGTCTTAGGTTTGAGCAACAGGAATGTCAGGGGTGTGAACGTTCAATGTCAAAAAGGTTGAGAGTTGTCTTTAAACAAATATCACTTTGTACTTATCCCATATTATCAATAGTAAAAATAATAATAATAATAATAGAAATAGTTGGATGACTCAACAAAATAACATTTTATAATCAGTGATCATTTGTGTATTTACCCTAAATAATATGTAATCGCACAATTATAAAATTGTTTGAATATTTAAAAATAATCTAACACTTGAAATTAATTATTAAGCAAGTGGAATTAAAGAGAAAGTCTTAGTACTATATAGTGCATATTTTGTATTAGTTAAAATATGCTTCAGATCCCTACACTTTTTGTTTCTTTGGAATTTAATCTCTATTTTTTTATTTTTAAGAATTTAATCTCTTTACTTTTTTAGATTTAATAATTTTAATCTAATTATTAACGTAATAAAATCTATTTTTTCAAATTAAAGTTCATAACAATGCCATTTTTTGTTACATGGCTAACAAGTTAGGACTTTTTTTTATTTCAAAATATAATGTTGATGACTTTAATAAGAAAATTTAATATTATTAATAACTATATTTGAATTTTTTAAATTGATGATTAAATACTTAAAAATATAAAAGTTAAAATTTAAACGTATAAAGAACACACGAACTTAAAATATATTTTAACCTTTATATTTAAGGTAACACGTTTATTTTTTTAATTTACCTTAAAGTTGGGGACCAGAATTATTTATCGTTGCTATAAAGATAAAAAATTTGTGCTAAATTAGAGGCCGCCACTGCGTTTGGAGCATTTATGATTGCTGGGATAATTCAAATATAAAAAATCAACAAATCGTAGTACAAAGAACAAATAATTTATATACTGTGTATGTTTTTTTTTAAATAGAAACAACTAATATTATTAAATTTATAATTATTATCATAAACTAAATATATAACCTGGATATTATATTTTAACATTATATATAATTTTATATATTATTACTAAATTAAATAACATTATATTATTAGAAATCAAATAAAAATATACATCATTAATATATAAAATTAATTTTTAATATTTTATTTTTATTCATAAACTGTCCAAGAATTCATAAAATAAAAAAGTTAAATTAAGCTAACCTAAAATTTCAAGGTCTAATATCGAGAAACTTTTGCCTTGAAAAATATATTTAAAAATTAAGAATTAAATGAAAATTTTTAAAGATCATAAATTGAATGCGTTTAGATATAGTTCTCTTGTAATATATATATATATATATATATATATATATATATATATAGAAGATTATAAGTAATTTAGGTATTATACAAAAAATTATTTAGTCATAAATCTTAAAATTATCCATTAAATTTTACAAATAAGCAATGCATTAAATTTAATAACTTTAATTTTAATTAAATTGAGTATATTTAAAAATAAATAAATTGTTTTTTTGAGAGTAGCATTATTTTCTCTTATTTTTTAGTATATGAATTGGTATTAAACTAATTTTACACGACAAATTATCCAATAACTAATTTAATTACTTAAAAACATTTTAAAAATAAAATTAATTCACTAAAAATGATATTTACCTGTGTGGTGATTATGAGCAGCCAACCAGCCAAAAACGATATTTTGCGATTATAAAAGGCTTTGATGATAGTAACGATCCCAACGGCATAAGCAGAGCCACTCCCAAATGCAGCCCCAGCGTTCGAAAATATAGAAATAAGAACGTGTTCTTTCATGTTGAATGGACCAGGGTTCAACGAGAACTTTCTGGACCCTATACCAGGCAGCTCGAACTGTGTTGTTGGGAGGACTGCGGCCATAAACTGACCGATCGGAACAGGTCTGACCTAATACATGTGTCAGATGGGTTTTAGCTCAGGGTAGCATGTTTGAGAGATATCAGTTTTCTAGTGCTTATAGTGTGTATATATATATATTTGGCCCAAAAAAATTAACCCAAAATATCTGATCAGTCGATGGAAGACTTAGGGCAGACAACGAAGATCCAAAAAAATTAGCCAAAAACATCTTATCGATGCTTATATTGTTTGACTATAATTTCTATTACATTTTTGTTTTTAAAAAAATATTTATGTTTTTTCTATTATATGGTATAAGTATAGGGATACAAAATTATTATCTCACCCAGAACATTAAAACTTATTGGACCGGCCCTATCCGCCACAATTGTTAAAACGGAGAAAAACAAACCTCCTCCGCTGGATACGACGGAGGCTATGAAGCAACACACTGCAGCTAGCACAGTTTGGGTTGATAGTTTCAGCTGGTTCCCCTGGGGTTTCCATCGGAGGGTTTTGTTGAGGATGAAGTGAGTGTGAGATTATCTAAACTAGAGGGTGGTGGTTGTGTTGGATGAGATTGGGTGATTTGGGTGCTGATGAAGAAGATGAAAATGGGAAGCAAATTCTGAATCTTCATTTTTGCCGACACTTGTTTGGCGCTGCTGTTTTCTCTCGTGAAGTGAAGTGTCTCAAAACAAGATCCTTGTGAAATGTTCTTATATATACTACGTGACAGATCTCATTATTTCGGAAACTCGAGTAATTTAAGTATACATTTTAAAATATATAATAATTTTATATTATTTATTATATTTTAATTTGATTAATATGAGTATTTTAAAAAACCTATATTTAAACACGTATTGTATTCTTCATGTTCGTTGAAGTTATTACGATTAGGGATGGACATGGAATATGAATCCGACAGGTTCCGATCCGATCCGACCCGATCGGGTCAAATTTTTTAAAATTTTTTGGGTTTAGATGGATTTTAAATTAAAATATTCGGAGTCGGATCGAAGTCAAATTTAGAGTTAAAATAATCTTATCCAATCCGACCTGACCCGAATAATTAATGCATAATTATTATTATTTTTTACTTTCCTATTCCTACGGTAGGAATGAATACAATTTCCCATGACCCAATATCCCATGACTTGGAGGACTATTTTACTACCCTAATCTGCAATCCATTCATTCCTATTCCTACCACTTTCATGGTTACCGAGGGAGGGCATGATATTAGGCGTGGCAAGCATGATATTAGGCGTCGCTTCCGACTATTATTTTAGTTATTTTTTAATTTCCTTTAATGTTTTTTACACGCTTTTCCCTTCTTTTATTTTAGTCAAAATACGGGATCAAGCTTGATGCTTTCAACGATTATTTTAAGTTTTTTTTTTATATTTTAAATTAAAAATTTGTGAGTTTTAATTAAAATTAAATTCGATCAAATCAAATCGATTCTTTTTAATTATCTATCAGATCGAATGGGATAAAATTATAATTTCATCGGATCTGATAAGGTAGGGTGATCCAAAAACCGACCCAACTTGCCATGCCCATCCCTAATTATTTGTGGATAAGTGTCTATAATTGCATGGGCAGCTGTCGGGGAAACGGAGTGAAAAGACAAGCATAGCTTTATGGCTTTTCTCATCCCATCCTTCCTTTATGTTCACAAAAGTTAATATATTTATTTTATGCAATTATTTCAATAATTATTAATTTTAAATACCATACCAACAATTAATTATTTTAATAAAATAAAACATTTAAATTTTAAATAAGATATAGGTTTTAAATTTTGACATTATAAACTAATTAAATTAAATAATGATGCATATTTTTGAGAAAAAAATAGGATCGTTTAATTAAATCAAAATTGCATACATTATTGTACTGCATATTGCAGAGGGTAACTTGGAAACAGGTTGCAGGGGGAAGAAGGCAGAAAAACTTCAAAACAGCAAGTTGCAGTGACAACCTTATAGGATTTTTTTCTCTTGTCATAATAATTCATAAAGGATATTCCTTGT